CCCTGCAGTGTAACAAAAGACATTCATTTGCCATCAGCCACCGTTTTAATTACCCCCCTACCTTTGGTAGCTAAAAACAACTATCCGCCCGGCACAGGCCGTTCTGATAGCTGCTCCCCCAATCGTTTAAAGCGTTCCCCGGATTCCCCCAGGTCCCGTCTTCAGTAACAGCTCGCCTTGCTAATCAAACAACTGCTATTGTATTCCTCACAGAATAAATGATTAGATGTCCTTCTTAATGATTTATTGCCGGATTTTTGATGGCTTTTTGTTGTTTGGGCCGGGAGTGTTCCTATTTTTAGTTTGTGAAGATGTCGCATAATATTTCACGCAGTGGTTTGTGGCTTTTTGTTAGAAACTGCATAAAGGTGCAACACTGTCATGCAACACCTCTGATCCCTGATTCAACCTTTGGATACCCTACCCCGTTAAAGTTCTGCAGTCTTAGTGATCTCTGACCACTGGGGCATAAAAATACTCCTCCCATCTCTAGGATGCAGAATCGCTCCATCTTACTACTTAACCTTGTTCTGGGGAGCTTCCTCAGAGCCTCGCTACCCTTTTTGTATTGTTTTCCGTATCTTACTTTATGTTGTGTCAGTTTAGTATATGATCGTGTACATATATCTTTGTGAGCGTTGAGGCACCTAGTTATATATATACATATATAACTAGGTGTACATATATGCATAACTAGGTTATATATATATGACCTAGTTATATATATGTATATATATATGTATATACATGTATATATATGTATATATACATATATATATATATACATGTATATACATATATATGTGTATACATATATGTACATGTGTATATATACATATATATATATACATGTATATACATATATATATATATATATATATGTGTATGTATATAACTAGGTGTCTCCACACTAGTTATATATATAACTAGTTATATAAGTATCTCCACACTCACAGAGAGCATGCCACTAGTCTAGTTTATTAACTTTTAGGATCGCGATAAAGCGTTCTGCAATTCATCTGCTTACTCATCCCAGTCCCTTCATAATCTCTTGCTCAGTAAAACTACGGTGTGAGAATCGCCAAGCCCTACTAATACAGTTATCATTTGAGGTCCGGGAGAGCATTATTAATGAATGTGACGTAGTCGAAAGACGCGAAATTTCATGTTATGTTGGCCGAGAAATATAGAAACAATGAAAGATATTGTGCGAACTCGGGTAGTTGTTAACACGCTGTTCAATCAGGTCCAACTTACCAAGCAGCAAGAAAATTCAACCGTTAGTAAAGTTGATGGTGGGAAAGTTTGGAAGGAAAAATCCAGTTATGGTAGTACTGCAACGAGGTGGAGCTTTGTAGGTACAGGAGGAGATTTCAGTGTTTGAAGAAAACAGAAATGGAACAACTTCAGTAATTCAAGATAGGAGATGTTGGGAAGTCTGGACGAAAAAGATATTTTAGTGGTCCGGGAGAAAAATGAAAGCTGCCACGGCTGCGTAGACGGAAGAAGGGAGGATAGGATATTTCAGTGAACTAACTGTTCATGGTTTGAGTTTCATCGTTTAAATTCTTTTCGTTGCTGATTTCTTCGACTGTTTAGTCCAACTAATCGCCCTCAAAAATCATATTACATTAGTGCTGCGTGTTTAATGGTGCTATTAGGTGAACATGTTGTTCGAAAGCAAGACGCTAGTTTTTCTCGTTGTTTTATGCATTTTCGAATTTTCTTCAAGCAGAGTAAACTGTACTGGTGCTCTCGACGGTGAATTATAATGATTCTCGTGAAAGTCGTGCCGTGAATTACAGTGAAGCCTAAGAGTTAAAGTTTTTTGTTTTCTCCCTCTCACTGTTGCTGTTCTTACAGAAAAAAGCTTAACTGGGATCCGGAAACTGTGTGTTGACAAGTCATTCCGTAACAGTCTAGGAAGCACGATGTTCGCAGATGGAAGCCTAAAGACTGGTCACCAAAAAGGTACCCAGTAATGCAGGTCCTGGAGTTCTTTCAATATTCAGAATCTTTCGTATAGTTCCTGAATAATTTGGTGCATCAGCTTATCCGCAGCGTAAGTATGCTGTGCATCTACACGACTGTGCCCGAAATAAGATATCGCAAAAAACACAAAGTCATGTTTTGCCTGACGCAACACCGCAAGTTCTTCCGAATTTCTGATCGCTATTGTTTAGTCTTTAATGTACACTCTCTCCACAGAATGGTTGTAATTTCCAAAAACGAAAAAATCATTAGCCCTAATTAAAAGGAACCGATGACATATATCACAGACCGATGCAAAAAAAAAAACAAATTAACAGTAAACATATTTTAATACGACTCCCATATTTGTGTGTCTGTAAATATTCCGTCACCACTTCTTTTATGAATGAATTATCATTATCACACTGAAATACCCTACCGACATTACCATGATGTCAGTGAGTAAGATAGTTTGTTAGAAGTAAAAACGTTTGGAACGAAGTTCTGATACTCAACAAGCACTAAATACATTTCGAAAGAACTAAAACTTCAGCAATTGCTTCTGCGTAGAGAAATACTGAAGCGGTAAATGATTTAGAAGGCAAAATGAACTCAGAATCACCACCAGACTGACCACCCACCAGGTGATGCAGTCTGCGTAACTGGGGATGATGCTGATTATATAGTTATGAATTGCAGCCGTTCCACAGAACTTTTTTGTTAACTAAAATATCCCCTTTTTTCTTAATAAATTAAATTTTTTCGG